AGGGCAGTGTCACTGGCCCTCATATGTGGGATCCGAACCGGGGCCCTCTGGCATCCCAAGCGAGTTCTTAACCATCGCGCCACTCGGCTGGCCCGCGTATATATTTTTAACATAATTTCCCCCAAGAAGCTCTTATCTTAGAATTGAGGAATACGATGATGACGTACTGGTAAAAGCCATTGTAATTCCAAGGTGAGAACCAAAGCCATGCTACAGAAGGGTGAGCGGTGCGTGGGTGTGTTGGCTGGAAGCTGTGTGTAGACGACTTTCTTAAGCGTGAAGAGAAAGCGGGGAGAGCTTTCCATCTAGAGCGGGGTGCAAGATAAAGGAAGGTTTTCTGCACGTGAAAGGGCACAAATACTCTGACTTCTTTTTTGTGACCTGAGAGCAAATTAAACATCACAGTGGAAAGGATGACATTTCCTCCTGTTTTGGTTTACTGTGTGCATTAGTAGGACTTCTGTATATGTGAGCAGTACAACAAGTGTAGATCCACGGTTAAGGGCAATAAGGGGGCCGGGATGAGGCAAGGGGAGACAGAGGAGATGAGGGAGTGGCAGGGAGAATGGCCGTGTGTGCCAATGTCGATGGGGTGCGGTGAGGGAAAGCCCTCGCTTCTGCTGGCCTATCCGTGAAGCTTCTAGAAAAGAGTTCGTCTTTCCAAGGCAGTTACAGTGATACAGGAGAGATGGTTTGGTGGGCTGGATTTCCAGGCAGTATTTGTATTTATTTATATGTCTTATTGAAGAAAATGTTAAAGTCATACAAAGACGTGTGTGCAGATGATGAGAACGATAAGATATAATGGTGATCTGGTGCTTCTTGTTGGTCAGACACTGTTGTAAGTACTTTGTATTAGTTTAACTCTCAACAGCCTTATGATGTAGAAACTGTTATTCCCCATTTTACAAATGGGTAAACTGAGGTTCAAAGTGACTAAGTGGCTTGGCCAGGTCACACAGCCTCGTAAGTAACAGAGATGGATCTTAATGTAGGCAGTCTGGTTCCAGGAATGAGAGGGGGACTGTAGACCTGATGGCCGAGGTGTCCTGAGGTGGTAGGAGAGGCATGGCGGCGAGCTGGAGTCACCGCGAGAGAGGCAGCCACAGTCGGGTTGAGTATTGGCAGCCGGCACAGGCAGGCAGGCAGGCGTGGTCCTGCCTCTGGGGAGGGGGGAGGCCCTGAGGTGGGGGGCCCTGGATTATAAACAAGAGAAGAGGCCTGGACCAAGGGTCAGTGAGGAGAAGGGAGACGTGTAGCCCACAACGTTTGCATGTATTGGGTGTAATTCCTGAATGTACTTCAGATCTGTTGATCTCAGAGGAATCAGAAAAGAACTTCAGCTAAAGGCATAAGTAATGCAGGGAAAAAACCATCACATTCATATGCTGCGGTTTTTTCGTGTTTTTTTTTTTGTTTGTTTTTGTATGTGTGCCGCCCTTTACTTCAAAGGCTAGTGTTTAGTTTAATGGGAAGCTGTTCTGTATCTGGGTGGTGTCAGAAGCTGGGTTCTTGGGACGCTGACTCTGACATGTCAGTCATCGTCCCAGGACATTCTTGGGCCCCACATCTATGGCAGGAGGGGAAGGCGGAGGCTCTGGGCAGAGGGACATGTGAAGTCTGAAGTCGCACTGGAGGCTTTGGAGCAGGTCCACCATCAGTGTTGTCCCGAGTGGGGGAGCTGGGCCTTCCTACACCCATCTTGTCCTTGATCAGGCACTGGTGCCGCGCCCCTGCCCCTGGCAGGAGGGGAGGTGTGTCCCAGCTCACAGTGCTCTTGCTGTTCTCAGAGGGCGGAGTGCTGGCAGCAGTCCTAGCAGCTGGGAATAGTCACTCCTTCCTGAAGAGAGAGGTCTGGTTCAGGCGCCACGGTGCTCACCACAGGTAACACCTTGTAAAATCTGAGAATCTTAGAAAAACAAGTTCTGAGCATTAAAGCAGAGAATGCTGACTTGACAAAAATCAAGCATTTCATTATCAGCATTGTCGACGAGAGTTGAGACTTCCAGGTCCTCAGCTGCCAATTGCGTCAAGTTGTTGGACTTAATTTCTGTATCTGTTATTACATTTGATTATAGAGTTGACATTAAAATGTAATGCAAGGACTGGCCAAGTGGCGCGATGGTTGGGGGCTGGCTTGGGACGCCGGAGGGCCCCGGTTCGGATCCCACATATGAGGGCCAGTGACACTGCCCTCCACAGCTAAGATGCTGAACAACAGCTCAACCTGGAGCTGGGCTGCCGTGGGGACGGCGTGGGCTGCGGCCCCTGTGGCAGTGGGTTGCCGTGGGCTACTGTGTGTAGCCAGCAGCTAGCATGAGCGGCCAGCAGCCGCAGTGAGCGGCTGTCCAGAGGCCGGCGAGTGATCTGCCTCGCCTGGGAGGAGTGCAGTGATGGTGCCAGCTTGGGCCAGTGAAGTGGCGTCCTCCACAACTAGACTGAAGAACAAAGGGACAGCAGCTTGTCTGTTCCCCTTCCCCCAATTCCCCAATAAAAATCTTAAAAAAAAATGTAATGCAAGATACACACATACAGGTAATATTATTAGAATGTATACATAAAAACGGGTCTGACTTTTATTTATTTATTTTATTTTATTTTATATTTTTAGCTGAGCTATCCTGCCACCTGTTGGCAGCTCAGCTCAGGCCAGGCATCAAACCGCTGTTGCTCAGAGCTTGCACTCTTGACCAGCTGAGCCACTCGGCCGACCAAAAATGGGCCTGACTTTTAAAAGAATGCCATTGTATTACATAATTTGCCTCCATGAAACCAGTGGCTTTTCTGAGAAAGCGTGGTTACTAAACGTATGATACAGTAAAGAAAAAAGAGGGTATAGGAGTAACCTGTCTGCTCACCCGATCTCTGCCACTTCCCAACTACGAAAACCTCTGTCAGCCTCTTACCTTTTAGGCAGCTAATTTTCTCATCTGTAAAATGGGGGAGAAAATGATTAGTGTTGTTTGTAAAATTGAAATAAATGCACGTCAACATGAATGCCTAAAAAAGAAGAAGCTGAAGGACTTGAGAGAGCATCTGGTTAAAACCTTTCGTGTTTCAGGTGAGTGAAGGGAGTCTCAGAGGTGGAGAGACCATGGTTTGTGCGTAACTAATAAATAAAGGGGGAAAGTGCTGCATGTAACAGGCGTGCTTGCACGTGTCTCAGGAAGACAGGCATGTGACCTAAGGCTGTCAACAGAGCAGACGTCCTGAGTCTGAGCTTTGAAAACACTGAGAGTAACTGCAAGTGCCATCCGCTGTCCCAGAATCCTGTCCCTGGTGCTCACTCTGGATGGTTTGAGCCCCCTGGGACCCCTGCTGGGGCCCCCCAATGTCTCCCCTCACCACACCTCTCCACCCTTCTGCACTCCCCCTTTTCTCCTGTCCTTCCTGCGGGAGGAGGAGGTGCTAACGGTGAAAGGAGCCCGGTTTTGGTCCTCACTGCACGTCAGAAGCTGTTGGTGAGGGCTCCCTCCCTCCCTCCCCATCTCAGTCCCTCCTGGAAAATTGGAATGGTACTTGCCCTGCTGATCTGTCGGACTTGTTTCAAGGAATAAACGGTGTACATCTGTGAGAGCACTTTACAAATCCACGCGTGGTTGTCCCACACTCCCTTCCCTCGCTGTGGTGGCTTCCTGCCAGGACTGTCTGACAAGTGGCTGCAATTGAGATGCTTTTTCTGAACTATGAAATTCCATTTGGGGAGACTAGTGGGACCCTAATGAGATTACGGAGGAGTCACAGTGAGAGAAGTTACATTGTAAAAAAGCACTTTATTTCCATTGATGAAAAAGCATTGGCCTGCAGTCCTAGCGGAAGGCACTTGAAGGTATTTAAGGGTCGGCCGAGTGGCACGTTGGTTAAGAGCTGGATTGGGATGCCAGCTCTGAGCAGCAGGGCCGCGGTTCGGATCCCACATGAGGCCAGTGACGCTGCGCCCTCTACAGCTAAGATGGTGAACAACAGCTCAACTTGGAGCTGGGCTGCCGTGAGTCACTGGTGACGGTGTAGGCTGCACTGAGGCTGCAGTGGGCTGCTGTGAGTTATGTGAGCAGCCGTCCAATGGCTGGCAAGCGACTGCCTCACCTGGGAAGAGCACAATGATAATACCGACATGGGCCAGTGAATCCTCCACAACTAGACTGAAGAACCAAAGGACAGCAACTTGTCTGTTCCCCTTCCCCAATTTCCCAATAAAATCTTTAAAAAAAAAAAAAGAAAGATATTTAAGTTCCTTGTGAGGCTGTGAGCCCCCCTCCGTGTGCCCAGCTGGGAGGGTGCCTCCCTGTGCCCTCCTGACGCCCCCTCCCCTCCCGCAGGCTCACTGGCGTTGGGCAGGGGTGCCGTGTACACTACGGAACCTGAAGTTAGAGTTGCTGAGAATAAACGTGAGTTTGCAGGGGCTGGTGGGGGTGGGATGGAGGGAAGACCCCTGGGGACCTGGGAGTGCCCGCCCACGCCCGTCTTCACGCCCCTTCCTGCGCCCACTCCCTCCCGCTGCAGGCGCCAAGCTGCCCTGTGCCTACTCTGGCTTCTCCTCTCCGCGAGTGGAGTGGAAGTTTGCCCAAGGCGACACCACCAGCCTCGTTTGCTACAACAACAAGATCACGGGTGAGCCACTCCGCCCCTTCCTGTCGCTGGGGCTGTGGAGGGGCCCATCCACCTGGGTGCCTGGGTTCCGGGGGGCACCCCCTGGGGCTCGGTGCCCCTGTGCCTTGGGGGCCACCATCACCAGTTTCCCCTGCTCCTGTCTCCGGGCAGCTTCCTACGAGGACCGAGTTACCTTCTCCCATAGTGACATCACCTTCCATTCCGTGACCCGGAAAGACACAGGCACGTACACGTGTATGGTCTCTGATGAAGGCGGCAACACCTACGGGGAGGTCAGCGTCCAGCTCCTTGTGCTCGGTACGTGCCCCTGTCTCCGTGGGGGCCTGGAGTCAGTTGCGTCAGTTGCTCCCCCGGTGGGCCGTACACCTCGTTGTGTGTGGGTGGGGGATGCTTAGTCACGGTGCTGGCTGAGGGGACCAGGCCCTGGCTGGGGGGAACTCGCATGGCAAGGGGGGGAGGCTGGGGCTGACGGCTGGGGTGTCGTCCTTGGCGGCCGCCTGCGGCCCGCAGCCCTCTCTGCCCTTGACCAGCACCTCCTCTCCCTCCCCAGTGCCTCCATCCAAACCTACAGTCAGCATCCCCTCGTCTGCCACCATCGGGAGCCGGGCGGTGCTGACCTGCTCTGAGGAAGATGGCTCCCCGCCCTCCGAGTATTACTGGTTCAGGGACGGGGCCCAGATGCCCACGGAGCCCAAGAGCAGCCGTGCCTTCAGCAACTCCTCCTACACCCTGAACCACAAGACAGGGGAGCTGGTATGGACGGGGATGAGGGGCAGGGACACAGAGCCCCAAAGGTGGGGGGAAGAACACGCAACAGGGCGAGCGTGGCGTTCGGGCCAGAGGACGGGAAAGGTAGGGACTGGCGTGGAGGCAGGAAGCTGAATGTGTCCTGCCCCCCAGGTCTTTGACCCGGTGTCAGCCTCTGACACAGGAGAATATATGTGTCAGGCCCAGAACGGGTTTGGGACGCCCGTGAGGTCAGACCCCGTGCGCATGGAAGCTGGTGAGCGAGGGTGTGGCAGGGTGGGCTCAGACGGGGGTGGGGGGGTGGGGGTCTGCTCGCCCAGCTCAGTGGCGGTGTCGGTCCTGAGCAAGCAAGCGCTCACGCGCCCGACCTTTCGGTGTCTTGCAGCGGAGCTGAATGTGGGGGGCATTGTGGCCGCTGTCCTAGTCACCCTCATTCTCCTTGGAGTCTTGATTTTCGGCATCTGGTTCGCCTACAGCCGAGGCTACTTTGACAGTGAGTATCTGCCCTTGAAGACTTTGCTTCGCACTATCCCCATTTCAGGGCCCGGTCCTTGGGTGCCAGCTGAGTACCATCCTGACACGGCCTGCGTGCGCAGGGCTTATGGTCAGGGGAGCACCGACACCCACAGCCTGGCGCTCATGCATCTCCTGCCCTGCTGACCTCATCCCCCATTTCTTCTCTTTTAGGAATGAAGAAAGGGTGAGTGAGGTGCTGTGCTTGGGCTCCCTGAGGCTGAGAACAGGACGCATGTGACCTGAAGCTAAGATGGCCAGGGGAGGGGGTTAGAGGTGGAGGCCACCGGCCTGGTAGGGAAGACACCTGCCTTTCTACCTTTGTTCCCTGTGGCCCTCTGCTTCTGTAAAGTTCTCAGTTCTGGCCTCGAAAGGTGGCCAGCGGAGGTGAAGGAGGGGGCGAGGGACAAGGGGACTGAGGTCTCCATCTTCTGGCTTGTCTGCAGGACCGCAAGTAAAAAGGTGATTTACAGCCAGGCCACTGCTCGAAGTGAGGTGAGTATGCCAGCGCTGGGACGGAGAAGGCGTCCCAGCTGGAGTGAGGGGCTTCTGGCCTGCATTTGTATGTGTGTGGATGGGGTGCGGGGGTGGGGGGGGGGTGGACCATCAGCTAAAGAAGACAGAGAATTGACTGGTGTTTCGTTTCTCCAGGGGGAATTCAGACAGACCTCTTCATTCCTGGTGTGACCCTGGTTCTCTGCGCTTGCCTGTCTCAGGTGCTACCAGACTCGGCCCCTGATGTCTGTAGCTTCACAGGATGCCTTATTTGTTTTCCAGCCCCCCCACAGGGGCCCCCACTTTTATTTTAGTTCAGATGTGTTTTTTAATAACGTCAGCTACGTGCCCCTTCCTTGTTATGCGTCCCTTCCTTTCCCACCACCGCTGAGTGGCCAGGACTCTGTAAAGCTTTCGTTCCCATCCCTCTGTGGGATCAAGCAGGGGTGCAGAGCGATGCCTGTTCACTTCCCTCCCAAGTAGACGGTAGGAGCGGCGGGGCGCTCATCCCCAGGTGTAGCCACCATCCTACAGGCCCCTTGAGCCCAATTCCTCAGCTGTTTCCTCTCGCGCTGCTCTGAGAACCGGGATCAGCCATTGTTGAGTGGGGCCTGTGGACCGGAGCAACTGAAATGGTCCCTTCGGCCTTTGCCTTCCCTCAGGAAATCCCAGAAGCAGACAGACGCCAACCATGTCAGTTGTCCTTTTGTTGTGGGGAGCACAGTAAGCTTTCAGGGGACGTGAAGCGGAGTGTTTAACCACTGATCTAAAGAAACGAAAGCTGGAGCTGGTAGCTTGAACCATCACCCTTCCTTTGGCTGAACAGCTGGATGGACCCTCTGACGCTGTGTCTGCTTGGCTGTGGGGACGTGTGTCACACTGTCTGCTTGTTGCGTCCCGCACGACATGGGCAGTGGGAGAACGAGAGGGGGCGGCGAAGGGTTAAGAAATAAAAGAAACAGCAGCCAAGAGTTAAATGAGCGTGGGGCCAGGGGTCTCCAGCCTCGTGGACTAAGAGCCCCTAATTGGGCGACACCGCTTTTATTTCTCCACCCACCCGGAAGTAGCGTTGTTCTCTCCACAGTCTGTGAGTCTCATTCCTGAGAACTTGCTCAAGCCAGATTACCCATGCCTGCAAGCTGCTATTACCGAGAGTCCACCCTTGGCAATAAGACAGATGCTCTGCCTTCATACACCCTGCATATGACCCCAGGAAGATAAGATGATTATGCTGAGGACAGATCATCAGGTACTTCCTAAGCAGGTTGAGGGAAGGAATGTAGCTACAGAGGTAGAAGACCTCCAGTCTCTTTGGAGGGCAGGTGAGGGCCCATGCCCACCTCCCATCAGCCCCGAGATTTCTCCTAATGGCCCCCATGCCAACTGTGCCTGTCTTAGGTTGTTCCTTCCTTGAGGGATTTCACCCGTCATTAACTAACCAGCCATCTTTTGGGGCCAAACAGGGAGACGCAAGGTGTATGAGCAGTGTCCTCAAAAGGGTCAATTTAGGGTTAAGCGCGGGGGACTGATGGCTGGACAGCTGCGTGGCAACATCCGCTGAGTGCATGTGCTCCTGGTTCTGTGCTGACATCAGTGTGTGCTGGAGAGCTTCTCAGCACGTGGTGGGTTTGTGTTTGTGAGTTTGTGTGCAGCCAGATGTTGCTGGAAATAAAAACCTGGTTTGTTGAAGCTTCTTGCTGTGAGTGGGGCAGTGAGGCTCTTGGTCTCCTTTGTACAAACAGGAAAATGCCGGAAGCCCTGATTCCCAGCAACCTGGGCTGGTCCCGCCCCTTCCTGTCTGGCCCCTCCCGCATCCTGTCTCAGGGTGGAGCTCCAAACACTGGACCCTGTGCCAGGCCTCCCCTGCTGGAGGGTGGCACCCCATGCGAGGCTGAGCCCCTGAGTGAGGAGAGAAAGCCTGCCGTCCACCTCTGCTGACCAGATGCCTCCACCCAGCTCCTGAGGCTGCAGGAGAAAGTGCTGGAGCCTGAGGCAGGAGGACATCTCAGACCATGTGGAGACCCCATCTTCAGCAGTAGCTGCTGCTTTCTGTGGTGGGGTGGGTGTTTGTGGAAAAGATTGTTGGAGACAGGGCCTGAGGCCAGCTGCGTGTGAGCGAGCGCAGGACTGAGCAGGCCTGCCTGTCCTCGTCTTCCTGTCAATCCCTTCTTTGCCCTTAAATTACTGTGTCCCCATCTACCACTGTCCCCCAGTCTATTGATTAACTAGCAGGAGGGCAAATCGGGTTTTCTAGGGTCATTTTGCTTATTTCTGTGGAGGATACTAAGTACTGCTTGGCTGTACTCTGCTCCCTCACCTGGATATTCCCAACAGATTTGAATTTTGTAGCAAGGACCCAAAAGGACAAACAGGACAAGTCAAACAATTAGGTATAGGTCACACGCGAACCAAAAAAATTTTCCAGATAAAAGTGAGATCAAATTAGACAATAAAAGCAAAGATTATGAAATGGTTCAGTAAGCATGCGATTTTAAAGCATGTTTCAGCTCTGTACCCTGTTGGGTGGTGTGTGGCGAGGCCGCAGTGACTCTGCCCCTGTAAGCCCCCCACTCCCTAAGCCACTTGTGAGTAGAGGCAGTTGGCACCAGCCTTGGCATTCACCCCTGCAGCTTACAGCCGCCCCTTTTGAGTCAGAAAACACCTTTTCTGCTTTCATTGTACAATGTCAAAACTGATTTTTGTAATAAATGTTTATTTTTCACATTGAGTTTGTTTATATCCTGAAGTCCTACATTAAAAGAGTTGAGACTCCCAGAATGATGCATCCATTCAAAATCCTCCTGATAGCTTTATTGTTTAAGAAATTAGAGGGGCCGACCGAGGGGCGCGTTGGTTAGGAGCTGACTTGGGACACCAGCTCTGAGCAGCAGGTCCCCGGTTCGGATCCCACATATGAGGGCCAGTGACGCTGCCCTCTACAGCTAAGATGCTGAACAACAGCTCGACCTGGATGGAGGAAGGCTGCCGTGAGTCGTCGGCGTAGGCTGCAGCCCCTGCTGCATTGGGTTGCCATGGGCTACTGTGAGCTGCCAGCAGCCACTGTGAGCTGCCAGCAGCCGCTGTGAGCGGCCGTCCAGAGGCCGGCGACTGATCTGCCTCACCCGGGAAGAGCACAACGATAATACCAACATGGGCCAGTGAAGTGACGTCCTCCACAACTAGACTGAAGAACAAAAGGATAGCAACTTGTCTGTTCCCCTTCCCTGATTCCCCAGCGCTGTTCCCCTCCTTCAATTCCCCAATAAAATCTTTAAAAAAAAGAAAGAAAGAAATTAGAGATACCCTTCTCCAAGCCTTGATAATTACACTTTAACTTACCCTGGGTCTGTGCTTAAATGGGAATTACTAAAATGGACATTTCTCATGTTAAAGTGAGACTTGGGGGATGGGGAATAGGGCAGTTTCATGGAGATGGGTGTTTTGAGACATGAACCCCCGTGACCAGGGATTAAATGAATGCGTGTTAAGCACGTGTTCTTGTCTGAACAGCATCTACAGGTGAAGGCCGGGGGAGAGGAAGAGGACGGAAATGAGTTGGTCCACTTCTAAGTGAGGGGACAGTGTGTTCTGTTGGGCAGGGCGACAGCTTAAAGGGGATAAATGAAGAAGTGCAACTTCCACTTACAGAAAAAATCATTCTGGAGCTCCTCCAATTTATCCCTTTTCTGTTACTAGATGTAAAATTCTAATATGAATTGGATCTTTTTTCTTCTTTTTGGGTAACTTGTTGAATGACTAGAGGCACAGAAATTACAAGGAACTTGTCAGTTCCCACAATCAGTACTAGATAAGTGGGACGTCTGGGGTTTGGACAGCTGGGAGGGGTTGGGGAGCCCACGCCCTGCTCTCAGCGACCCTGAAAGGAAAACAAAGCAGGCGGAGCGAAGCAAGATAACTTCCTCTGTACAGGCGGGAATGTGGGTGTTGGGAGAGAGGACAGCGACAGTACTGCAGTGCCTGGGGTTTCCTCTGAGCTGTGACTGAATATCACTCGAGTCTGCCATCCCAACAGGACCTACAGGACTGCGACAAGTGAGCGCGACAAAACAGAGCGCCTATGAGTGCCACCTTCTGGAATGAGGGGTAAACCTCACTGCATTTCTGCTAATGACTCATGAGAATGTATGTATGTCATATTTGTGGATGGTAAGCAGTTAGATGGAAGGGCAACCTCATCAGCTTGCAGAATGAGAGTCAAAACGATCTCAGTAGGCAGGAGTGATCAGTCCCATCTTTGCTGATGGTGCTGTAATGAAGTCCTGTTCTAGGCTCCACACTTTAAGACAGTTATAGACAGACTGAAAAATGCCCATAGAAAGTGATCTGGATGGTAAAGGGACTTAAAAACCATGTCATACAGAAACTTGAGAGAATAGAAAGACAGCATGTGACAAGTGACGGGGCAGGAGGGTGTAACATGGGGAGACCCATCCCCACTGAGTCATTTTAGAACAATACTGAAATCCACTTTCTGTTTCTTGTTGATTGTTAAACTATGTGGAGATAACAATACGATGGTTTTCAGCAATTATTTTTTATTGCTCCTTAGCTGTTGTCACCAGCTCCCTTGAGGGTGGGGACTTGTGTTCACTGAGCGTGCCCAGTGTCTGGCACATAGTGCCAGTCCATAAATGGTGAATGAATAAGTGCCAAGTTCCAAAATCGACATAAGTCAAGCTGAGTGACGAGCTGCTCTGTTGTCTGTCACCAGCATTATCGTCTCTTGTCATCTGTGTGCAAGCCAAATGACAAGCAGAAGAGAGCTGAGGGAGAGAGGATTCCAGACCCTGAATTTTTAAACGTTGGTGCCACAAATATTTTGGTGTTGCTGTGTGGGCTTGGGGTCAGTGGAGCAGGTCAAGAAGAAAATGAGGTGGCCTCATTTCTTTGTCTCTGGTAGGCTGAGTCCTTTCCAGGGGGCAGGGCTCCTGGGTTCAGCACTACTCCCACCTCTTCTGAGCCCAGTTCATGGTTTACGGTGTGGAAGTGGCTGCGAAGGATGGAAACTCCCCAGGGAGACAACCTATGCAGAAAAAGCGTAAATGCTGAGAAGAGGCCCCTTTCCGCCTGGGAAGGGCAATGTAGGGCTGAGGAGTAAGGAGACCCCCCGGGCCCTTGTTTCTCACCCCTTCTCACCCATGTTTTGGCAGCGCTCCTAACAGGCTGTGACATCTTACTCTGTTTTGATGGGGCTCAAGGCAGGCTGCCCCAAAATGCACCACTTTGGGATATGGATTATTTGAGTTAAAGTTACTGTAGTTGAAGAGACAGCCAGTTCTAGAAGGACATGCCGGCCCGTCTGTCCTCTGAAAGCAGGACACCAATCTTTCCAGTGAAAGGCGCCTTCCCTGCACAGGAGGTGGAGAGAGACTTTTTCAGCAGCCTGTGAATGCAGGGCTAAGAAGGCTGTGTAAACAAACTCGTACTTCAGTAAGTTACGAAACCCCAAGCCCAGACTTCTCCGTGTTGTCCACTCTTCACAAAGCTATTGTTTCCTTGTCTAAAAGGTATAAAGGCTGCCTGCTTTGTGGAGTCTCATATTTCTATAAGTTCCTGTACGTATGAAATTAAAATTTGGTTTCTTTCCTGTTTATCTGTCATAATTACTAGGTCAGCCAAAGAACCTGGAAGGGTAGAATAAAAAATGTTGTTCCCCAACAGTTTGCGCGCACAATAGCTGAAGTCAATGGACATGGTGTAGGAGAAGAAAAAATAATTACCCCGTCAGCTCTTCTAGGTTCTCCAGTGAGGGCTGTAAGTTAGACAAATGACAGGTTAACAAGAGACAAATTGATCAACGTGCATCATGCGTGCACATGGGAGCACTCTGCGATGAGGAACTGAGAGGAGTGGTTAAAACTAGGTTTGCAAGGGCTGGCTGAGTGGCTCAGTTGGTTAAGAGCTTGCTCAAGAGTGCAAGCTCTGAGCAACAGTGGTTCGATGCCTGGCCTGAGCTGAGCAGCTGCTGAGCTGCCAGCTAAAACAAATGGGTTTACATAGCACCCTAATAGAATTTTAGAGAAGTGACAACACAGAGAAAAAGGACTTCAAGTTCCTCAGGTGCCATTTCTGTGCTGAGAGTCAAGAGCTGCTTTGGTGACTAGGTGACTAGCCTGTGTCCTTCCTGGTGGAGAAGAGGGGACAGCTTTACCAATTTATGTTCTGAGGGCCGGCCGAGTGGCTCAGTTGGTTAAGAGCTCGCTCAAGGGTTTGAGCTCTGAGCAACAGCGGTTCGAGTCTGGCCTGAGCTGAGCTGCCAACAGGTGGCAGGATGGCTCAGCTTAAAAAACCACAAATGTATGTTCTGCTTTTAGACAAAAAGGGGAGGACAGAGGCCTTTATTATTATTATTATTATTATTATTATTATTATTATTATTAATGTATTCAATTTTCAATTACAGCTGACAATCAGTATTCTTTTATATTAGTTTCAGGTGTATAGCATAGTGGTTAGATGTTTACATAACTATGAAGCAATCCCCCTGGTTAGTCTGGTTCCCACCTGGCACCATACATGGTTATTCAATATTATTGACTGTGTTCTCCATGCTGTACTTCACATCTCTGTGACTGTTCCGTAACTACCAATTTGTATTTCTTAATCCTTTCCTTCCACCCATCCTCCCAACCTCTCTCACATCCAGAGAGAGGGAACTTAGCTCAAAATAATAGGCCAGGGCCGGCCGAGTGGCGCGATGGTTAAGAACTGGCTTGGGACGCCAGAGGGCCCCGGTTCGGATCCCACATGAGGGCCAGTGACATTGCCCTCTACAGCTGAGATGCTGGACAGCAGCTTGACCTGGAGCTGGGCTGCTGAGTCGCCAGCGACGGCATAGGCTGCAGCCCCTGTGGCAGTGGGTTGCCATGGGCTACCGTGTGTAGCCAGCAGCCAGCGTGTGTAGCCAGCAGCCAGCGTGAGCAGCCAGCAGCCAGCGTGAGCGGCTGTCCAGAAGCCAGCAACTGATCTGCCTCGCCCGGGAAGAGCGCAGTGATGGTGCCAATTTGGGGCAGTGAAGCAACGTCCTCCACAACTAGACTGAAGAACAAAATGACAGCAACTTGTCTGTTCCCCTTCCCCCAATTCCCCAGCGCTGTTCCCATCCCCCCAATTCCCCAATAAAAATCTTTTAAAAAAAATAAATAATAGGCCAAAGTACCCATTCTGGGTGTATTCTGGACATATTCGATATTTTTGTTGTTGTTGTTGTTGTTTGTTTATTTGTTTTGAAGCGAGTATCCCATGAAACACAGGTTGAAATCCTCAATGATGTTAAGGCTGGGAAAGGGGAGTGTTAATTTTGAGTGAAACCTTCACAGATAAAGGTGTGATCAACATGCCCACTCTTCAGAGCTTGAGATAAGAGATAAAGGTAGAAAGCAGGCTTTAATGTCCCCTCAGGGAGCCACAAATGTAGGTGCCACCGAGGGGAGGGGCCGAGGAAACAGAACTGCCCCATACGTAGGGAGTGGCAGTCGTTTGAAGGGCGGCAGCCTGAGCTGAGTTTGCACAGAGCTTTGCACAGTGATGACCTGGAGGACTCATTGGTACTTCAGGTTGTTCTGAATGTTTTAGATGCACTAACTCATGTAGTCCCCACTCCTAAGAGGAAGGTGGTGGTGTTATCCCCATTTTCGGATGAGAAATTGAGGCACACAAAGGTTAAGTGTCTTGCCAAGGTCATATATCTGAGTAGTGGAGTTATAATGCCAACCCAGATAGACAGGCTCCAGAGCCCGAATTCTAGCGACCACTCACCATACTGCACCCACCGAGGTCCCGGGAGCGTGATTGTGTGGATGGAAAGGAGCTGTTGGAGAGCGTCCCTTGCCCAGTCTGCATCTGGACTCCGAATCCAAGGCCGTGTTCTGCTGCCTCCCTCAGCCGCTGCGCTGCGACTCAGTCCAGCTCCAGACACGGCGAACGGCAAGTGGAACACAGGAAGGGGGGGGGGGCTGCCCGGAGGGAACTGCAAGTATTGCTTCTAAAGGGAAAGCAGAAGAAAGAAAAAGGCTGGGGACCCGGGTTCCGGCCTCAAAGCCACTGCATCCTGGGGGACAGCAGGACAAGCCCCGGGCCTCCCTGGGCTGCTTGGCCTTTCTGGAGGGTCCGATGGACCTGTGGATGGGCGAGTACAGCAGATGTGGGTGTCTGTCCGTCTGGTGAGGGGAGAACTAGGGGATAGTAGGAAGAGGAAGACAGGGAATCCGGCTCAGATGGGAACTGAGCCAAATCAAATTCTTCCCGAACATCTGAATTTGCATGTGCTTCAATTTACGGTCAACTTGCAGAGAACCCCTGGGCCTGTCAGGTTTTCCTAGTGCCCCCCACTCCTCTAACGCTGCATCCGCTCAGCTCGGGCTCCGCGTGTCAGCCCACACTGTCCCCCTCCCCCTTCACAATGTCTGTTGGAATGAGAGTCCAGGATAATGGCTGGTCCCCATGTAGGTTTCTCCATACTGCTAGTGGGATGAAGAGAACTGGGACATTTTGTGGGTTTCTGCACTTTGGACAAAGGCACTGGCTGGGCTGGGCTAGAGTGAGGGACAAGCTGGTTTGAAGCTGGTTATGAGTCACTGTGCACCCCCGGTACCCGCCCACTTGAGGCCAACTTTGCAAGTTCCGTTGCTGAGAACTGTCAGACCCCAATAGGCTCTGGGCTATCTTAGCAGCCTTGTCAGTTCTCAGTGAAAACAGCCGAGTTGAGGAAATTGTGGCCAGACAGGTAGCGAGGCAGCTCTCCCCACTGTCCCTGTGCCTGGTGGCTGCTGAGCCTGTGCACACAGAGAGCCATCCGTCCGCTGGGAGACAGCCAGGCTGACCCCGTGTCCTGTGGGATGTTGGGGCAAGCTCTCACCCTCACACTCCTCCTGCTCCTTAATGGGCCTCAGGGTCAAGGTAAGGGGCCTGGCCTGGCCTGGGGTGGGGCCGCGGCCCATGGGGAGGTCAGCACCCAGAGCCTCCAGACCGAGCTGCTTACGTGGTCACCTGGATCTGTGACTCGAGCAGCCCCTAACAGGTCTGGACAGGTTGGCAGTGGATTTGGGGAAGGAAGCCCTGAGAGGCTCACTGCCTGTGCCAGTCAGCAACCCAGGCAGCCTCGGGCAAGGCGATTGGTTTCCTCTGACTTCAGTTTACCTTCTGCGTGGGGTGGGGAGTGTGTCCTTCCTGCTGGCTGTGAGGACTGAGGGAATGCCCTGATTCTGTGGGATTGCTAGCAGCGAGGAAGAGTGGCCCTGGGTCTGGGTTGCCCGAGTAAGCCCCGCTGCTCCCTGAGGCAGGAGAGCTGAGCAGGACGCAGGCTTTTCTGCAGCCGGGGCCCCTAGTCCTCCAGGACCTCCGGTCACAAAGCCACAGGAGCCTGAGAATTATTGGGGAGAGGTTGGCTGAGGTCAGGGGACAGGGAAGGGGAGAGAGAGAGACAATAACAGGCTGGACGCCCCACAGCAAACCCAAAACTGCCAGCTGGGTACCAGGACAGCTGATGTGTGCTGTGTGGGGCCCTCCTCCCAGGGCACTGCCCCTCTTCCTCCAGCCCTGGGCTCCAGGGTGCTTTGAGACTTGGAGCCAGCATTTTTCGGTTAGTAACTCTTGGAGAGGCACCATGGGTGGGGTGGCGTGAGAGGTGGGCACACTTGGGTGTAAAGGGAGGTGTTTGCCCAGGGCCTGTTAGAAAGCTGAGGTAGGGCTGACAGCATTTGGCACCAGGCTTTGGTGCTGAGAGTGACAGAAGGTTGAGGCTGAGATTTTGAGCCCGTGTGACAGGATGGTCCCTGCACCCTGAGTCCAGGCTCCAGCCCTGTTGTTGGCTGCTGTGCAGGGGGCTGGGAGAGGGATTCCTGGGGCATGTGACGGCTGGACTTTGTCTGAGGGGACTGGTTCCTCTTCCTGCTACATACTCTGTCTGTGCGGCTGGCCTGGCCAAAGCGACTGAAACTGCTCTGTTTGTTTGTTTTAATTTTTAAACATTTTAATTTAAAATAATTTCAGAGGTGCAGAGAAATTGCAAGAATGGTACCAAAAATTCTTGTATTCCCTTCACCTAGATTCACAGTTGTTAACTTTTTTTTTAAATTTTATTGGGGAACAGTGCGTTTTTCCAAGACCCATCAGCTCCAAGTCAAGTCGTTGTCTTCAATGTAGTTGTGGAAGGCGCAGCTCACTGGCCCATGTGGGAATCAAACCGGCAACCTTGCTGTTATGAACCCATGCTCTAACCACTTGAGCCAAATGGCTGCCTACAGTTGTTAACTTTTTATCACATCTGTTTCTTTCGTGTTCTCTCCGTATATATGTATGTGTGTATAATGAATGATGATTTTTGTTGAACCATTTGAGAGTAATGCCCCTTCTCTCTTAAATGTTTTAGCGCATATCCTCTAAGAAAGGATGCTTGCATATCATACCACATCCGCACAACGATCAGGCCTAGTCAACCCCGACACGATCGAGCGCACAGTCCACGTTCAAGTGTTGCCAGTTGTCCCAGTAACGTGCTTTATGGCTTTATTTTTTCCTACCCAGAATCCAATCAGGCTCCTGTGTTAGACTCAGCCGTTCTGTGTTTTTACGCCTCTGTGATCTCCAGGCTTTCCCGGTGTTGTGTCGCTGTCGTTTTGGAGCAAAGGGCAGCAGTTCTGGGGGAGGGCCCCTCATTCTGGGTCTGTCAGACGTTTCCGCAGGTGATTCGTTTGGGTCATGCATTTTTGGCAGGAATACTGCAAAAGCGATGATGTTCTTTGTCAGTCCCATCAGAAGTGCTGAAGGTGAAACTTTTTCTTAAAAACTTGGCTTATTGAAGAATTTGATATGTGTGAGATAATGTGAGAGGCTCACGTCACTGTCCAGTTTTGCAGAAGCCTTCCAAAAGCTTCTCACTCCACACAGTCCAAGCCCCACATTTTACAGAAGTGTGGGCCTCCTGACGTGTCCTTCCACTTTTCTCACTGCGTTTCAGCCACACGGGCCGTTGGGCCGGCTGTCCCCGGTCCCCAGCACTCAGCACCCTCCCCTTCCACGTAGCTTGCTCCCTCTACCCCTCTGTGGTCAGCGCAAACACCACCACCCGGGCCCCACCCCTGCCCCGCCTGTCCCTCTGGAGGTCACATTCCATCCTGTTTGCTTGTTTGTTTTCTGTCTCCCAGACTCCTCTTTATGTCACCAGAGAGTCAGGTCCTTCAGGCCTGGGCTTTTGTCTGGTTTGCTCACGGCTGGTGTTTAGTATCTCGAACAGTCTCTGGCACAAACAGACTCTAAGTTAATATTTCGGAATAAAAGAATACTTTAAGTAGCCCAGGGAATAAAGTGAGCTTATCTGTGTGCTGTTCCAGACGTGTGAGCTCGTGCTGCCTCGCAGCCTTGAGACCTTCAACTAACCCTGCCTTCCATCTTTTCATGGGAAAATGAGCTCAGCACGGTGCCTGCTGCGTAGGGGCCTGCAGGGTTGGCGGGGGATGTGGTGTAGAAAGTGCTTAGGAAAATGTCGAGGCCTAACAAGTCCCCCAGGTGAGCGCTCATGTTATTTGGCTCTTTGGAGGCAGGACAGATATTTATGTCACTGAATTGTATCATCAGAGGCAATAGAGAGACTATTCAGTGACCGTTCGCTGCGTAATTAATTGAGTGGAAAGAGATAAGATGTGGACGTTCAATGTGGCTCTTCCTGAGGGTTCCTCGTTACCCTACCCAGGTTCTCAGGGAGCCTCCAACATTTTTAACATAAAGGAACATGTATTATCATAATGTAAAATATTCTTACTGTTCTCACAATATCACCTCCCTGTCTGTCCCCGTCCCCGGGCATGTGTGGGCAGCTCCGTGCCAGACGCTGGGCAGGCACTGAGGACTCGGGGTAGTTGCACAGCTCCCGTTCCCGTCGCTGACGTCGCCACGCGATTACCGGGTCATTCCAGCTGTGACTCATGTACACCAAGCCCAGCAGGTGCTCGGATCATGTCAGTTGAGTGAGTGAATGAGCTATTTTCAAGCGTCTCATGCAGATTGGGATGATCTGGGGGTCAGAAGAGTTGGACAGCAACGACCTTCACATCACGGCCCACAAGAGAGGCCCTGCACCATGGACCTCACAGCCAGGCCTTGGCTGTGCATTCTGAGGAAACCCCAAAGGACACACTGGAGGCTGTGAATGCCCGGGGCTGCGGGCACAGAGATGGCGCCGGCAGCATGGGGGACGGCCCTGAGGGGGGCCGACGTTGACACTCACTTCCCAGGGAGAGGTCTGATTGCCGCTGCTCTTGCTGGGACCCAGGCAAGTTCTGAGAAGGCGGGGTGGTCGGGCTCCCTCTTCCCAACACAGCACGTCAGTGAAGAAGCAGCTGGGCACAGAGACAACCTGGGACTCAGCTCGGCCACCCTGCAGGAGCCCGGTTCTGTGACAGTCACTCTAGGGGTGGCCAGGCCATCGTCATAAACCTGTATTACTGAGGTGTGTCATACAGAAAAGTGCATGAGACGCTAATGTGGGTCTCTGAGTGGCTGCTCGTTGAAGACAGCTCTGTCCACACCACGTGCTTCCTCCCACCGTTTCCTCCTCATTCTCCCGTAAGCACAGTCCCTTCTCTCTTTTTTTTTTCTTTTTTTTTCATGGTCCCTTTTCTGACCTCTGACGTCGTCACAGGTTAGTTTTGCCGTGTTTAAGTGGAGTCATATGGTGGGTGCGCTTCTGTTTGCCTCATTTTGCTCAGCATCTGTGGTATTGTCTGGCTGATCATTTTCACGGCTGTGTAATATTTCATCGTGTGACTATTCGATAGCTTATTCCCCCATTCTACTGTTGAGGAAACTTTGAGTCACTGCAGGTCTTCCGTTTTAACGCCGTGTGAGCCTTTTGTCCTGAGGGCCTGAAGGGGCGTGAACCCTGTAAGGCAGAGGCCAGTCAGTGCCCAGGGCACCACATCAAGGTGGCCTCCGCGAGGAATTCCTCCATTAGAGTGTTTTCCGGAAGTTAACCGAGATGCACTCTGCGAGTCAACTGATTAGACAGTTCGCTAAACAGCCTCATCAGCCCTTATGTTCCCAGAACTAGGCAAGACTTTGTGGGGACAAACATGTAAAAGAAGATGTTGGTTCTATTTGTAAGAGTCTTTCAGACAGAGGAAAACAGTCGTGTATCATAGTAACTGCAAGGGAACACAGAAAATGCTGAGAGTCACTCATAGGCAAGCGAGTACACGGGGAGCTAAGAAAATGAGATTCCTTTTAGGTGCGGACACTGGGGAAGTGGCCCTGAAGGATAAACAAGAGTCGAGCAGAAGGGAGGAGGACAGTGTAAGCGAGGGGGCAGCCTGCACAGAAGCAGAGGAAACACAGGGTCTGAGTGGAGCCATGAAAGGCAAAAGCACTTGTTACCTCGGAGAAAGACAGTGTCACATAGAAGTGACATGATTCAGTTGACTGACAAAAGGACGGGGACGTGGGTGGGTAGGTTTGCCAGTGGGAAGGGGGCTGCATTGCTTGAGCAGAGGAGCCAGCGTGGTCAGTATGCAGCCCCCAGTGTGGGGCGTGGGCTCTGGAGGTCACTTTTTAGGGTTTCGTGTGGGCCGGGGCCCAGCCTGCTCCAGCACTTTTGGACTCTACTGGGCTCTGTGTGCTAAGTCCCCAGCAGGAGCCCCTTCTGTCACCCTCATGTCAAGCCTGGTGGCCTAAGCTGAGCTGAGAAAACCTCAACATCCTTTAGAAGGCTGGAGGAGTTACACTGCTCTGCGACGCCTCCCTGCCCCTCTTCCGGGCTCTCAGGCTGCGGCTCTCCTCCGACCAGCAGGTCCAGTTCGGAGAAAGTTGAACTGACTGTGGCTTTGAGGGCTGCAGCAGCTGCAGCCAGGCTCGGGGCAAGAGGGACTCAGTGAGGGACCAGGCTGTCTCCTGGACCACCCTCCAGCAGGCTGCCCATGCTCCCCTGCAGAGACCACTTGTTCACCTGTCCTGGGCCTGTGGCTGCAGTTAACCCCAACTACCAGTTCACCCCATTCATTCTTAACCACAGGAAGAGGGGCCCTGAGGCTGCCTAGCAGCAGTCCTGGGGGTGTGCTGTGGCCTCGCCCCTCTTAACCATGTAGCGCTGCTGTCGGGCTCCTCCATCTCTCACTGAGCGTGAGAACCGCGTGGAAGTTTTAATGCGGGCACTTCTTTTCTTTCCGTTTGTCACACACACCCCTGTGGGACAGGCTGGGGCCTTTTCATGGCAGCCTCAGTACCCAGCACACAGCACCATCCCTCAGCACCCCGTCCCCCCTCACTCCGGCCCCCTCCTCCGTCCTCACACTGGACTGTTGAGGCCGCAGAAGAAAATTCAACCACCAAGAGCAAGGACAGGCTCACAGCCTCCATTCTCAGCTGGACCCCCTGTGTCCCGGAAACCCTGGTCTCCGACCCATTCCTCACAGAAGTGACTCCAAACTGTCACCATGTCTGCAAGGTCCTGTTCTACCATCACGGCCTCCACCAGCTTCCCCCTCCTTCTCCAAAAAAATGGCGGCATCGTCAGCTTCCGCCAGCCCCCCACCTGCCCCATCGATGACCACACGCACGTCTGCTCCGAGCTGCCCTCCTCTCCTTGGCTGGAGCTCCCCCGCGCTCTGGGCATCGCTGCGTAAGGCGGCGGGCCGTCCAGGGCCTGCTCAGCCCTCGCGGACATCTCTGCTCTGCCTTCTCTGTTCCTTTTCTGCTGACTTTCCACTCTTAGCTGGCTATCCTCACAGTTAAAAACCTGTTGGAAAACCATTGAGTTTTCCCTCTTTTGTCTTTCTTCCGTGTGTCTTTTATACTCCAGCTTAGGCTTGCTCACAAGTCAGCCACATAAGGTTCCAAGAGACAAGCAGAAATGTTCGACGCCTCTGCAGACCTCAGCTTAGAACTGGCACGATGCGATTTTATCGAGAAGGCCAGCCTGTGATGAGAGGTGGGCAGTTCCCCCATGTCCGGATGACGGGAGGGGCTCAAAGCACCGCCACAAGGGGAGTGACCATGTCTGCAGTCTGTCACACTAGTTCTTTGCTAGAATTCCCAAACTTCTGTTTTATTTCCTTGAGCATATTAAACATGAGTACTTTGAAGAGTATAACTAACACCTCTGTTATCTAGATGCCCCTTGGGTCTGTTTCTATGACTTATTTTTTCCTTTGGTGTTTGGACATGTTTCCTCTTGTTATGCCTGATTATTTTTTGTTTCATTTTGTACATTGTATATGAAAAATGTTAAAAATAATTTAATGCTCTGGTCGATGTTATTTTCCTCCAGGGATAACTTATATTTACCTCTAGTAAGCAGCCAGGTTAGAAATACTAGAGATTACAGATCACTTTAATCTGATTCAGGGTAGAGATGACTCAAATTTGGGCTTCAGTTTCTGTTAGAGCTGGTCTGTGTCTTGTTCACTGTTACTGTTGTGTGCAGCCATTTATGTTACCAACCCCAAGTCTGGTGGGTTTTAGGTACATCCACTTCCTCCCAGGGGTCCCTGCAGTCCACGTTCTCTTAGCTCCTTACAGTAAAAAATGCTCGTCTCACCTCTCTGGGTTCCTTTGTTCAGACCTTGGCCCATAATATCTCAGTGTTTTATTATCTCTCTGATCTCTTTAACAACATGCTGTTGTATTTCCCCCCCTTTTTTCCTGGTTATTCTCAGTGGGAGCCCTGGTTAGCATGTCTTAATCTGGTCTTCCATGATCAGAATTACAATTCCTTAGGTGAGTATTTACCTCAGCCATGGAATAAAAGTGTGATCTGTTTCCAGGCCCCAAATTCTCTGGAGTAAGGGACCGTGTCTTGTGCATGAAGAGGTCCTGACTCTTCGGGGCTCTGGTGACAGTGGGGTCTCAGAAAGGACTGAGTAATCGATAACGACAGTATTTGTCCTTTTTGTAGGTTCAGTAGGTATTTTCCCACTCACCTTTGTCCTCAGCGTCTTGGCGCAGTGCTTGGTGGTTTGGTGGCCTGCTGTCACATACTGTACGGAGACCACGGGACAGACCCTGAGAAGAATGCAGTCTCTGCTTTTGGTTTGGTCCCAGGCAGATCCAATTCAAGCCATGGGATATGAATATGAATAAGTGTTTTACTTATTCATCGCGATCAAAGAGTGTCGCGATCAAAGGAACATCTTCTATCAACCAATAGTAATTACAGGTGCTTAAGCTGTTTCCCTGGTGCCTTGAGGAAATGCCAGGGTGAAGGTGTGGCCATAGAGATTGTTTATCATGCATATGGACATCTACAAATCCCTCTCCCCATCGCTGTTCTCAGCCTCCATTGCAGCTGGTCTGTTTGTGCAGCTGCCCCACCTGCTCCCTCCTGAGTCCTCCTTGACTCCCCACAACCATCCACACTTTTATTTCCTGGCCACGCCCCAAACAGGAGCACCCACTTTTCTCCACAGCTGTAGGGCTGGGGCTTAAGGTGGGCAGCGACAAGCAGCGCTGTGTCACACCCTCGTGTACATTGATGGCCATCTCGATCCCCAGAGAGGGACGTGCTGCGATATTCCTGCCTGGGCAGCGTGTGTTTTTCTTTTCAATTTTTTTCCTAGGGGGCAATCCTTGTGGGGACTTTCCAGTGACTTAAAAACTGGCAAACATTAATGAGTAATGAACACACTTGGATGTGCCAAGTTCTATGAGAGGATCCTGAATCCAGCTCAGGATCAGAGAGGACAGAGGGAGGCGTACTGAGTGCAGCTTGAGTGTTAGTCCCACTGGGCCTGACCACTCGGAGCTTCCAGCGGTCACCGCTGGCCACTAGTGGTGGCCTCAGTGCTGCCGGGAGGGGCCTGCATCACATCGATGCTTATTTGTAACACGGTAGTTAATAGTTAAGCCAAACGGACTGGCTGTCAAGCTTCTCTTTGTTACTGGGTAGCTTGGGGTAGTTACTTGGAAGTTCTTTCTTTTTTTTTTTATTATTGGCTAATTGGGGGGATGGGAACAATGCTGGGGATTTGGGGGGAAGGGGAACAGACAAGTTGCTGTCCTTTTGTTCTTCAGTCTAGTTGTGGAGGACATCGCTTCACTGGCCCAAGTTGGCACCATCATTGCGCTCTTCCCGGGCGAGGCAGATCAGTCGCCGGCTTCTGGACTGCTGCTCACTGCGGCTGCTGGCCGCTCACGCTGGCTGCTGGCTACACACGGTAGCCCATGGCAACCCACTGCAGCAGGGGCTGCAGCCTACTCCGTCGCCGGTGACTCACGGCAGCCCAGCTCCAGGTCGAGCTGTTGTTCAGCATCTTAGCTGTGGAGGGCAGTGTCACTGGCCCTCATATGTGGGATCCGAACCGGGGCCCTCTGGCGTCCCAAGCCTGTTCTTAACCAACGCGCCACTCGGCCGGCCCTGGAAGTTCTTTCTAAATGTTTCCTCAGCTGTAAAGTGGGGGCAAGAATCTCAGAGGGTCACTGTGAGGGGAAATAGTCAAGCAGTCGAATTTAACCCCCGCCTGTCTCAGAGTAAGTATTCGGGAGAGTTTCGCTGCTCCGGTGGGTCTGTGGGCTTCCTCAGAACTTGGAGAGAAGCAGAGGCAGATGAAGAATGTGCACATTCAGGTTCTCTGAGGCTCTGGGCTCCTCAGACGTGCCCCAGGGGAGTGGCGTCCAGCTGCCCGCCTGACGCCCTTCCTGCCTCCTGCAGCCTGGTGTCTCTTTCCTAGAAGCCTTGGCCCCGGTCGACTGTGAGGTTGCACTGGCAGGAACCCCTCTCTGGCTACGGCCCCGCAGCACACAGATGATGTCAGGTTCTGTGGAGTGGAAGGTGCGGCTGCACTCAGAGCCAGGAATGCGTGTGATACTCGAGTGGAAGAATGCATCTGAGTCGGACCCTGTAAACTGGGTTTCTAATAATTCCAACAATAGATTCAGTTTCATGACTAAAGACCTAACTCTTCTCATCAATGCCACTCAGCTGCAGGACAGTGGCCTCTACAGCCTGGAGGTCACCAACATATTCGGGGAGGTTTCGACCCACAAGTTCTGTGTTTCTGTGTTTGGTGAGAGCCCAGAACAGCTGCCCGCCCCCACCCCTGCAGGGCTCGTGTTTCCAGCACCTTCCTGATCACAGTCTCTGCTTGCAGATCATGTCGGGAAGCCCCGCCTGCTGGAGCAGTGGGGAGCCCTGGACAGAGGGGTGTGCCAAGTGACTCTGTCCTGCTCGGTCTCCAGAGGTGGCAATGTGAGCTATGCCTGGTATAGAGGGAGTGACCTGATCCAGACAGCGAGGAACCTTAGCATACTGGAAGAGCGAATTGACCCCAAAGACATGCACACCTATACTTGCAATGTCAGCAACCCTGTCAGCTGGGACAGCCAGACGCTCAGACTCACTCAGGGCTGCCTGAGTGCCCAGCAGAGTAAGTGCAGCGCTTTGGGCAACGACAACGGGGGCTGAAGGTGTCGGACCCCACGGTCAGGTGCATGTGCCAGACGGACGGGGCGTGAGAGCCCGTGGCTGCCTCCCAGTGCCCTGGCCCTTCCTCAGGGGGTCCTGGCCTCTGGCACATGCTTCCTGTACAGCCAGGCCTCTCTTAGTCTGGGAAGAATTTTATCCCCATCAGGAATCTCCTTCTGGGCGATGGGAGTATTTCCTTCACGTGGGGAAATGCGTAGCTGTTTGGTGAGTCACAGCCCCACCCTGGCTGCTGATCACTATTTCCTCCTCCTGAGAGACTCATGGTGACTTGCTTCCTTCTCTCAAGTGACAACCCTTCCCCCCCAAAGCCATATAGTTCCCCAAGAGCTGACTTCACTGTACATGGTATCCTGGGTGATGGGGTAGTATTGAACCCTGATCGCAAGGTACCTGGAATGGTTCTTGGTTTACTGCTTGTGCTTGTCCTGAGAGTTACCCTGAGTTAATTTCGCACCACTTTGTATTGGATAAATTAAGGCTTATGTGCCATCAGCCTGAGCATCACAGGGAAAAGGTAACCTGCAGTCCCTGTCCTAAGGAACTTACAGCCAGCTAGGGACTACAAGCTGAGTTCTCATGGGCAACAAGAAATGAGCAAGCTGTAGCAATGTGTGTTACCGAACTCAGGTTCGTTGCCGCTTGCTGTGCAAGAGTCCAAAAAACTAGAGTGACAGGGTTGGTGAGGAGAAAAGCGTCCTTTATTCTAGATGCCGGCAGCTAGGGAAGATGGCAGACTCCAGTCTGAAACCCACCTTCCCACAGACAAAATGCACCAGAGGTTTTATAGGCGGGTGGGTAGGAAAGAACAAAGACAAGTCTCTGGGCTAGTAGTTGAGAAGGATCTGGTGGCTTACTCTGAGTCCTCAGGTCTGCCTTAATGTTACGTTAAATATCATTGTCCACGGCCATCTGTGCAAAAACTGCTAGGGAGTTGTGATATTGGTCAAGAAGTCCGGTTGCTTGAGGATTAAAGAAGATGCTCTTTTCAGGTTAGTATGTGTGTTAATTAACAGGGTATGGGGTTAAACAAAGGGAACAAACAGAGTTCTTCAGGTAGTCAGTGGGAAGAGAAACAGAGGAAACAGCTTAGTATCAGGATGGATCAAACTGCTAACCAGCTAAGTTTAGTTACCGTATTGATCACCAAACGTCAACCTTACATTTGGGTTATGTCAGCCATAGCCTCATCATGCACAGCTGTGTGATTTCAGGCAGATTGATAAACCTCTCTGAGCCTCAGTTTTTCTCTTTGGTAAAATGTGAGTGGTGATAATAAACACCTAACAGTACTGTTAAGATTAAATGAGATAATACTTGTAAGGAGCCCAGTCAGCCGGCATCTGGAATACGTGATTGGGTCATATATGGCGACACCAACGTTACACGTAGAAGTTCACATGAGCAAGAGTGCTGAAGGCAGGAGGGTGAAGTGTGAGACGTGCCTGGCACAAAGTAGGTATACAACCGGAGGCCAAACCAGTCTGGGCCACAGCTGCTCAGCCAACAGACCAACACAGGAGTTGGGTCATAAGATAAGCATTTATTATCAGAGCACCGGACGTCTGAGAAGGCAGCGGGTTAACACCTCCCAAAACTGCCTTCCCATTCTCAAACCAGCTGGGGTATTTAAGGGAAAATCAGGCATTCCTCCAGAGGCTGCATGACGTCCCCAGGTCTGCTCTCCTTCTCATGATGCCCCCCTCTGTCATCATATCTCTTGTGGAGCCAGTGTTGGGAGAGTAACTTGGGAAAATGCTAAGGGATAGAGTTTGGGATTAGCAAGCATCTACAAGGTGAACTTCTAAGATAAGGAACTGAACCAGGACAGGACATCCAGGAGGCAGACTTAGCTCAGCCACAGGGGGTGTGAAGCCCACCTGGATGGAGGCAGGGCACCCCAAAGGCATTCTGAGCACAGGGGGCCCAGCTGGGCCCTGCTTCAGGAATGCTGTAAGTGTCTGTTGATGGGTAGTTGTAGCGTTTACTTTTACTGTGCCAGGTGGTTTGTGTCTGTTAGGTCCTGTGATTAAGCCCTATGTTGACATCATCACACATGTCCCTTTTTAAAGTGAGAAAACTGGCTCAGAGAGGTTACGCTGGTGCCCAAGGGCACAGTGTGTAGAGAGGCAGAACCGCAGCCACGCCCGTCAGACACCACACCCACGCCCTGAGCACTGAGCAGGGAGCCAGCCTTGACTGAAGTCACAGGGTGTGAGGACTGCAGAGAGCGCTGTGGGCTTGGGGACGGCCCCTGCAGTGGACAGGTGGGAATCAGGCCTCGTGCCTTCCTTGTCCCTTAGATTTCAGCTTCCTGCTCTTCCTGGTGACCGTCGTGCTTCTCGTCACACTGTCCCTCAGCGTCCTCGGCTGCTTCTTTGTGCACAGAAGGAAGAGGAAGCAGTTACGTAAGTGGAGGGCCCCTAAGAGGAGCTGCTGCCCCGAGGTGACAGCCCCGGCAGCCGTGCCTGGGTGCGCTGGGCTGTGTGCACATGGGAGAGATGGCTGCTGGGCCTTTCTCTGAGTTCTCACCTTCTGCGGTGGCCCCCACGTGTTCATAGTGTGATCCCCAATGTGCAGGTGGCTGGTTTGGGACACAGGCCACGGGGAGGCCTGCCGGGGTGGTTGCTGCCCTGAGGTTTTGGGTGCTCTGGGAACAGCACTGACCTGCTCCCTTTCCAGAACTTTCTCAAGGTCTTGGCCATCTGGGATGAACGCGGCACTGCTGGCAGCAGACAACTGGGCAGGATGCCCTGTGGAGGTCACTGCAGCTCTATTTGGTTTTTTTCTTCTCACAGAGCCCAGCCCAGAGGAAGTTCTGACAATTTACGAACAAGTCCACAACTTGCCAGTCAGGAGAAATCACGTATGGCGCCCTGCGGGCTGGGGTTTCTCTCAGCTGGTCTGAAAAATGCTCATGGGAGGATAGCCATTCAGACCAAGGGGAAAGAGAGAACCAGGCAATTGTCCTCTCAAAGCGGTCCTCAGCCTCCCCATGGATCTCTGCCCCGTGAGGCCCATAGCTGTGGCCTTGGGGAAACAGGAAACGCGAGAGAGAAGATGAAAAGGGCACAGGGGCCTGGGGTGCAGGGTTGCACCTGTTGAGCAGGGCTGGGCACAGCAGGAATCAGTAGCAGAGGGCAGTACGCTGCTCCCGCCTCCCCACGGCACCTTGTCCTCTGTTCCCCCCAGCCTCGCCAGCTGGTCTGCATCCAAGGACAAGTCCAACCTTCTTATGTTTTGTGTCTGACCACAGATTCCCATGTCCCTGCAAATCCAATTTCCTTTTGTGGGTCCCTTGATCATTGCCCAGGCTGCAGAGGGTGCCGGGCTGGAGAGCGTGCCAGCCACAGTACGACAGAGCTGTAGCTGCTCAGCGCTCTGTGTTCACCCTGTTTGGGGAAGAAGAGGCCGGAGCTGGATGAGGGGCTGCCAAGAGGAACTGATTTAGCACGAAGGTCATGAGCCGGAGCCAGCGTCTCGGGGCACCTGTCTGCCAGTCAGCCTTGGCAGGCGGTGGCCATCCCATGTTGGCCAGAGGTGTACACTCCAGAGGGGCTGCAGGGTGCCCCCACTGCTCTGCCCCTGAGCAGGGCAGGATGTGACAGGCGTAGGGGAAAGGCAGTGCCCACTGCACTGCCAGGTGGTGACAGTGGTGTGCGGGGAAACCCCTCTTCCCACCCCGATTCCTGGCGCTTGGCCTGAGGATGGGAGGCGGGAAGTCACGGTGGTGGGGCTTCTGTCCTGGTCACACACGTGAGGCCCTGGAGGCTGTGTAGAACAGAGGCACCTTGCGTCAGGTCTGGGCTTGGCAGGAACTGGGAGTCAGGGCCACCCCTCAGCCCGGTTCCTCGCCCCAACAGTGGGTATTGGGGTGTGAAAAACAACAGGAGACTGTTTCTTCCATCAGTTCCTGACTCTGGTTCAAATTCATAAGAGCAAGTGTATCGACCTGCAGCCACTGATGTCCAAATGCTTGCTAAACCGCCCCCCCTCCCCACTGCCCTAGAAGATGACTAGAGTGGAAAAACGAAGGGGACTCCAGGGGAGAACCATTCTTTAGAGTGAAAACACTGTTGGGGACCCAGGCCCCTTAGCCTGCTTCTGAGTTGGGTGCTCTTCCTCCACGCTTCCCCCCTCCTGGGCTCTGCCGACTGTCCCCATGCTTCTGTCCAAAGTCCTGTGGTCTCACTGAGGGCCCAGCTCTGACCTTGCTGGAGACACCTCACTTAGGTCTGGGCAGAAGAGAAAAACAACGAACTGCTGTTTCTTGCCGGATGCCACGACTCTCCCACCTCCACGGACAGCTGGTGCTTGTCTGCTCGTCTGAGCTGCTTCCTCGTGCAGTGCGCCCTGGTGGCCCACCAGAGCCCGTCCCGGCAATGAAATATTTCCACCCTTAATCTCCTGTGGGACAGGACTGAGAAGAGGCGGGCACTGCCTTTCCAGGGCTTCACCTAGTACCACAGCTGCCCAGGGGCTACTTCAGGCCAAGGGCAAGCCGCCCACCCAGGCTGGATCTAGAGAGGAGGCTTTAAAACACTGAAAGCCTCTGAATTTCAGTGCCCTGAGGTAAGGCTCAGATCACAGCCCTCCTCAGAGCGCAGTGCCATTGTCAGTGGCTAATGTAGTCAAGCAGTCAGCAAAGGCAAGTCTTTAAGTCACCAAGTGAATCAAGTGATGAGCGCCTTGGCCAGGGTTGCAATCGCGTCACACCTGGGCGGCTCCTCACTCCCGGCACTAACTGCTGCCTTGTGAGTTGCTCTTTCTGCCCCCTGTCCTCCCTCCCAGGCTCCCAGGGGCCCCTCTGCTTTGCGCTGTGTCCCCCGACTTGACCCCGGTCTGCACGGACCAGCTATCTGCCTATATCGCATGTTCCTTTACTATGTGTCGTGCAGGAGCAGCAGCAGAGTCCCCCCGGAGAAGGGACCACCATCTACTCCAGGATCCAGTCCCAGGTATCACTGTGGCTTCCCGAATTCAGTCCACGCCTGTCTAGGAGGCTTCCTCAGCCCCCTCTCCTCCAAATTCACACTCTTCAATGGCAGAGTAAGACCCTGGGGCTCCTGGAGCCCTGAAGACGGCTTTGCTTCAGCTGCATGGAGCTGGTTGGAAGGACCAGCGTGGGCCTGGAGTGTCCTCACAGCGCTGAGCAGAGCTGGGAAGTCTGGTGCAGGCCGGCTCCTCCTTCTGGGCTGGCAGCAGGCGGGGCACAGAGGCAGTTGGCAGGAGAGGGGACCTGTCAGGGAACTGGGGTGCTGTTTCCCCTCCTCGCGGCTCCCAGAGCCCAGTCCTTGCCCTTTCATCTCCACCCCCTATTATACCTGTTTTCAGGACAGAAAGGATCTGTGTTGTTTTCTTGTATCCTTGAGTGACCTGACGGTAACATGTAGTAAGTACTTACAGTACTTACAATGTCCATCTTGTTAAATGAAGCTTACGTCAGAGTCTCATGAAGTAGGTCTAATGCAAACCTCAGTTTGCAAACGAGGAAGCCGACTCAGAGGCTGACTAATGTGCTCAGGGCCGCGTAGCTCAGGGCAAGCCCGGTCTCCAGTCTGCCTGCCGCACCCACTCTGTAACATTCTGGGGGGGAGGGGGTGGAAATTTACCCATAAACTGGAGAAGCATCCTTTAATATTGGCAGCTGAGATGACACTATTGATAACCCGGCTGGGCTTCTCTTTCCAGGGAAACACTGCCTTCTGGTGGGCAATGCAGAGAAATTTCTGATAAAAATGAATTTTTATTTTATTTTATTTTTTTAAGACCTGAAGCAGCAACCGCCTCAGCTTGGTGGTGTAGCTGCAGGACAAAGAATCCTTGGGGGGAGGTGATGGTCCCCAGAGAAAGATCAAGAAAAGGAGACAGAGGACAAAGCGAAGGGGCAGGAAGGAAGGGAAGCAATTTAAGGGAGAAGAAGATGAGAAAGTTGGTGGGGGTGGAGGTGGGGCAGCCTCTCGGCAGATCGAGAATTCCCAGACAGGGTGTTGCCCCCTCCTGCTTCCTTAAGGTGTGTGACTCACTGCTGGTGGGTCAGCTTGAAGGACCTCATAGGGCTGCAGAGCCATTGATGTCTGGCTTTAGCCACATTGAATTCCAACAAGAGGCATTGAAATAAGTGCAAGGAAGGGCTCGTCTGAGGCTGAGATGTTGTGAGAATGAGACTCCTCCTCTGGCCTTGGGTCCAGAGAAGGAAGGTGGGCATTGCGGTGTGGAGGAGACAGCCCTGGAGAGTCTGCGTGTCAACGAGCTGCTGCTGTGAACGCCCTGACTTGAGCTTTGCACCCTTCCGGAGCCCCATCAGCAGAATGAGGCGAATTCCGGTCCTCTCGTCGTGCGGGAGTGTGATAAGGGCGCGGAGAACACACGTGCAGAGTCGGTGCTCCAAAAGTAGCAACTCTGTATGACAGAAAGGGACTAGCACTCGGTTGTCTGTCCTCCCGGTCAGTCCAGGGTTCTTCTGACCAACATGTAAAGCTCCTGTCTGGGCAGGCTGGAGGGGGTGGGATGAAGAAACGACCTCCGACCCCAGGGTTGTGCTAGACCAATGCTTCTGAAATGATTGTTTCTCTTCTCCTTAGCGTCCTGCTTCCACGTCACAAGTAATGGAAAATACATTGTATTCAATGGTGCAGTTTTCCCGGAAGGTGAGTCTCCGTCTGCAGGGGGCGCTACTGAGGCCGGAGGGGTGCGTGAGTGTGCGTGTATGTGTGTGTGTGCATGTGTGTATGTGTGTGTGCATGCGTGTGCTTGTGTGTGAGTGCCTGTGAGTGTGCGTGTGTGCGAGTGCGTGTGTGCATGTGTGTGTGTGTGCGTGTGTGGGTGCATGTGAGCGTGTGAGCATGTGAGTGTGCGTGTGTGTGTGTGCGCGTGTGCGAGTGCATGTGAGTGTGTGAACGTGTGCGTGTGCGTGTGCATGTGAGCATGTGAGCGTGTGAGTGTGCATGTGCGTGCGTGCGTGCGAGTGTGTGTGTGCATGTGTGCGTGCGAGTGCATGCGTGCATGTGTGTGAGTGTGTGTGTGTGTGTGTGTGTAGTGTGCACTTCTGAGCGAGCTGTCTTGCACTGCGTATCTGAATAGCTTGTGTTAAATGACTGTATTTAATGTTAATGGGCCAACTTGAAAATGCCTTTTAAGTTCTATTTGGAGAGAGAGCAGGGCTGAGACTAAGAAAAGCGCGGATTCAAGTTGTCTCTGGAGTTTCTGTGCCAGCGGGGACAGTCAGAGAGGAGCCAGCTGAGGCTGTGGTGAAAGCCACGGAGAGGCTTCTGAGGCCAGGGGCACGCAGCCAGGAGCTGCAGAGAAGACTGGATCCAGAGACCCAGCGCCGACTGTCAGGGAAACAGACCAAGGTCCTGGCCAGTCAGCGAATGGTGGAGGCCTCTCGCCTGAGGCAACCCATCAGGGTCCCCTTGAATCATGCTCCAGGCTGAGCTCACAGGTCTTACGTGCACCCAGAACTTTGGGGTTGGGTGTCCATGGGGAACGGGTGGGAAGAAGGGTGCTCCCAGGGCTGGAATCCAGGCATGGATCCAGTCTTCACGTGGAGCACGCGGAGGTGGGAGAGCGCCCTCCTGTGGAAGTGCTGACCAAAAGCAAGGCGGGGGTCATGTGTTTGTGCAAAAGGGGGAGAGGGTTAGGCCAGGATTTCAGACTGTTCATTCACTCCCCTTGCAATTCACTCAACTTGGATTCTCTCCTGAGAGACGTTTGTGTTTAGATTCCACACGGCAGCACGTGGCCGCTTTTTTTTTGGTTGTTGTTTTATTTTAGCTGAGCCATCCTGCCACCTGTTGGCAGTTCAGTGGCAGCTCAGCTCAGGCCGGGCATCGCACCGCTGTTGCTCAGAGCTCACACTCTTGAGTGAGCTCTTAACCAACTGAGCCACTCAGCCGGCCCAGCAAGTGGCCTTCTCTGAGGGCCCTGCCTCTGACTCCAGGCTCTCCAGCCTGCTGTGTTCAGGCGTGCAGAGCTGGTATGGATGTGTGTGGCGGAGCTGCGCACACTGGGGGTATGTGTGTTGAAGAGATGCGTGTTTGAGGCAATGTTTGTAACAGGTTTGTCTGAGGGGCCTGTGGGTGTGGGATGCTGAACTCTGACTTTGGTCCAGAGCTGTCACATCACAGGCAAGTATGTGTTTTGCCTTCTCTGGAACGTAAACAGCATTGTTTACTCTGGGGTAGGAGAGTCTACTCACTTCTGACTGTGGATTCTTCAGGGAGGCTCTGGGCACCTCGCCTCTTTGGCACCTCTCACATCACTTAGGAGGGGGCATTTCTTAACTTGAAGTTAAGTACTCTTTACCCCCTGAATTTCCAGCCTGGATCCAAGAAGAGGAACCACAGCCCTTCCTTTAACAACACTATCTACGAAGAGGTGAGATTCGGGAACTCCTGAAAGGTTCAGTGCCCATAGCATAGCCGTGACGTTGTACACTCAGGAAAAAGTCATTCACAGAGTCTCAGAATTGCAGGGTTTGTCTAATCCAAATCATCATTTTGGAGACGAAGAAACAGGAGTCCAAGGAGAGTGAGGTCTAACCCAAGGTCATACCGTGTTGTGGTTTGACTCTTACTGGGGAGCCTGAGCTTTTACAAGGGGCTGTCCTCTGCCTATTTCCCTAGCTGTGGGCCACACACGGGACACCTGTCTTTTCCAAGTGTGTGTGGGGTGGGGTGGGATCAGAGAAGGGAGGATAAGTGAATCTAAACGATTCTCTAGGGTTAGCAAGTAATTGGGAATCATTCCAGAACACAGATGACCTTAAGCTGCTGGGATGAATACTCTCCAAAGGTGCCTCTGAACCTGGTGGCTGAATTGATTTTCTCAGACCTTTTAGGGAATGGAAAGGCGGGACTCATCATCTAATGAGGGATTAGTATGTATATGGTAGCCTACCAGTGGCTTCATGTGAATTATCTCATTTAATCCCCACAGAATGCTATGAAGTCAGTACAATTATACTTTCCACTCATACCCATAAAGTCGGGAGAGCACCCCACCCATCACCCATTAGCCTCACCCTGTGCCCAGGCCTCCCCCTTGTGGTCTGATAAAGAAGCTGCCGTTGGTCACAAGCACACGGGCGGATGGGTGCCTGCTGGGGTCCTTGGAGCTCCAGCCATAGCCCCACATCAAAGCCAACTGGACAGTCCAGGGTGGCAGAGGACACTGGGCCGAGGCCATCCAGGTGTCACGAAGAAACATGGTGTGGCCCAGAAGCACTCGAGTGGAGCCAGAGGATGGATTCAAGCCCCTCCTTAGATATTACGAGTTGTTGACCCCAAGTGATTTATTTCACCACCTGAGCTTCATGTCCTTAATCTGTAACATGGGGATAACACTTCTCAGCCCACGGGGTTGGGGTGGGAGCATTCTAGTGGGAGGGTCTGAAGTTCTTCTGTTCCGCAGGTTGGAAGGAGACACCCCAAAGCCCAGGGTCCTGCTCGCCTGAGCCAGAGGGAGCTTGAGAACTTCCGTGTGTACTCCTAGCTGCTGCAACTGCTCTCACGTCTCTTGCGTACCAGCGTTAGCTCTGGGCGTTAGCATGACGGAGGGCACCACCGAGTCTCTGCACGATGCTCCCCAGTCTGGGGAGGACACGGGAGTTTGTTCACGGACTGCATTTTGTTTTGAAAAGGATTTCTAACAGCCATTGTAAGAGCAAGACTGTTACATAATATCTGTCAGCTTACAAACCGGACGAAGGGTGGAGAGGTTGGTTAGTTCACAAAAGATGGCACAGCCAGCTCAGGTACCAGGAGACTGCCAGGGTCTGTGTTCCAGTGGGGGGTTCTCATTACCCTCAAGATTCTCTCCCCCTGCCCTTCGAGTCTGTGACTAGTGTCCCCTCCCCACTAACCTGGGAAGGTCACACTTCTAGACCCTCCTCCCCTTGCCCAGGCCCATCTTCCAAAGAGGAAGAAAAGATCATGGTGACCCGGAGGAAGAGAAACAGCCCGCTGTGAGGTGGACCAATCAGCCCTCAGCCCTGGCAGGTTCTCCAAGGGGCCTCACTGGGCTTCACCCAAATACAGAGAAGAAACTGCCCACTTTCCTCTGGCCAGTTGGTCACAAGGGAGAGTGGGCAGGAGTGAGAGCAGATGGCACCAAGCAAGCCCATCTCCGAGTGGTGAAATCCCCAGAAACACGCGGGCCTCGAGTCCAGCTGCCTCTGGGGAGGGAACTGCGCTGTTGTTCCAGCTGCATTTTTTTTTTGTACTGATGGATTTTGAAAGCCATATGTGTGTATTACTCTTTTGACATGTTTTAAGTACTTAAGATACCCCTTTCATACAAACTTTCCATATTTCCCCCAAAGAACTTCTTTTCTTTTCGTCGTGTCTGCGTGAAGAAGAGCAGCGAGCGTATCTCTCCTCTCCCCGAAATCGTGGCCTCAGCCCTGCCCTCCTGCCTCTAAGTTGCACTGCCCTTGACTGACCTTCATGATACTCGCATGTGCACTTGTGTTACATGTGCCTTGTATGTGACACACACTGTCTGGGACTTTTCTTTCTACTCTTCGACGCACCATAGAGCCCACCGCACATATCAGTGGCGTTTGTGTTCCTTTCTCTACGAAAGTGGCCGAGTTTGCCATCGCATGGATATACGATCATGTAGTCAACCAGACTACAACTAAATCGACATTTAGGTTATTTCCAGCGTTTCATTTTAAAAAAACACTACAGTGGACAGGCTTTTACATAGATCTTTGTGTCTATCAGTGAGAATATCTGTTGGGTTCATTTCAACAGATGTTTATAAGCTGGTGTGAAGGTCCAGTCCCCTCTAGCGACACCCGACCGGCCTTGGCCGAGTTTTGAGATGGTGCATCTGAGATGAGGAATGGTCTGAGCGATGAGGCAACAAATGGAGCCAGGACGCCTAGAGGCCCAGAGGCTGTGGCTGTGGAGAGCTACTTCCATTGGTTCAGGCTTTCCTTTGACATAATTCCATCTCTGTGCGATTTTTTTTTATTGGTACTTTTTTACTTTCTGATACTTAAAGATTATTTTGGCTCTGTTGATATAAGAATGTTTAAATATGTAGAGAATTTTAATAAAAATTTATTTGAGCCAAATACAGGATACACCTAGAAGCAAGATTTCAAAAGACTGAGAAAAATGCTTCAAACAGTTTGCAGTTTCTTTCATGCACTGAAAGATCAGGAGGAAACTGGTGCTGCCGGCCTGAGCTGAGGTGGGGACCATGAGTCTGGAGAGGAGCAGGGGTGCAAAGGCCAGGAGGGGCTGTGGTGAGCGCTGTCCTGAGGACAAAGTTGGCACAGATGCCGGAGTCAGCACTCAGGGGACTTTGGCTGCGTGGACACCATCAGGAGAACTCATTCTGCCACAAGGAGAC